TCAAATCGTTTTCTACAATAAATCAAATAAATCACTGGAAAAATTAAGCATCACTGGTGTTTTCAGAGGTTACAAAGGAAATATTACGGCAACTACGACAACTCCAAAACGATTTGAGTAAAATGCATGGCGTTTTCAATCTGTGTTTTGTGCGATACAAAAAATGCGGTAAATCTAATTAGACAAAAAAAATGTCTTAATTCTGCACTATCAAAGGGCGACAAAATTGCCTGTATTGAATGTGAGACTAAGCGGCAAATTCACTTCTCTCCCCGATTTCTTGTGCCCTCAGAGTATGCCAATATGCCTCAAAATGTTAAACGGTTAACAAAAAGCACAATTAAGAATGCCCAGTTTTTCATTAAAAAAGTCAACAAATTCTCAAAATGAATTCCATCTCCTGGACAATGCACCTGAACTACAGTGTTAACATCGCAGAGATTACTATACCCCTGCTACTACTACGATCACTCCGTGAATTTCTTAGTGCTGCTAAGTGAAATCACGATACCTGTCTCAGACTTGCATTCGATGGATTGAGCCTCATTAAGGAAAAGTTGCATGCGTATAAAAGGCTCACGTCCTTTCGGTGTTAGCATAATCCATGGTTTCGGTTTTGCCAGCAGATCCGAAACAGAACCCTGTGAAAGGCCCACCACATTTTCACCAAACAGGCGCTGGGATATCGAATTTTTCGAGAGAAAGTCTTTGACCTGCAAAAGAGATTGATATGGGCACCAAATGTGGCTCCTGAAAAAATCAGACAACCAAAACGCGATTTTTGTAATAACTTGGGGATTTTTTGAGATTTTTTCCCATGTACTTCTTCCCCCGTCCCTCGCTCCTCCTCCCCGCCCTTTCAAAAAAAAGAAAATCAAATGTCTTTTTTGGAAAAGCCCTGGTTACGCACTGATCCAACACCCGTTGAGATATTAACAAGGAAATTATGCACTTCAGAAACTCACAATGAGCATCAAATCACACCAAGAACTCCCATTTTTGCTTACCCGTTTGACAAGATCTTCTGTGTCCAGCGGTGCACAACGTTCAAGCTGCTCCTGAGTTATCGGCGACAAACCATTATGACATTTCGCCACAAACAGTGCTTGTGCTGGATTCAGCGGAACATTTACCGGTAACGGAGAGTTGGAGCCCGTCGCTGCTCCACCTACCGTGGATGCCATCGATGATGCAACAGAATCCGCTGGTTCCGCTGACTAGAAAACACAAGAAATTAGGAGGCCTAGCTTAATGAGCCAATAGATTTTTTGAGAGAATCTGTCTATACTGGCCTAATGGGCGTTAATCCTAGCAGAAGGAAATACAGCTTCTTAAGAGTTTCTGGGGGCAAATATCGGGAGGACGGACAGCAAAGTACTGTACCTTTTCTTCTTTGATCCTTGGATGTGATGAACGGGAGCCAACTGCATGTTCCAGATGTGATTCCTGCAATTAAAAAATAAAAATAATTAGAAAATCTGAGAAAAAACAATGGCGACAATAATCTCTCCGATAACTAACAACTCAAGTAAAGGTTCCTTCAAAATCTATTTCACCCAAAATTGCGAATTTAAAAATTATCATCACTAATGAACTTTTCTGAGGAAAATACGGTACTGAAAGAGGGGGAACAATTGTGGAATTGTTAGAACACAGTATGGCTCTCCCTCTTCCTCTCTCTTTTTCTTTTGAAGAGAAATGGGAATAAAAAGTACTGAAGGTAAAAAT